GCAGAGCAAGCAACAAGCCAGCAGACACAAACCACTCAATATACTTCCACCACTGAAACAGAATCTACAACATTAGCTCCATCAACATTTACGACAGCAGTATCTCCTGTGAGCACAATCACAATAGAATCATCTACAAGTGAAAGTGGTTCACCACAGGAAACAACATCATCCATAAAAGATAATACTCCATCTTTATCATCGTCAACAACAGAAGGACAGACAATGTCAGAATTCACTTCATCAACAGAGATATCCTCATCTAGTGTAGAACAAACAACAAGCCAGGACATACAAACTAGTCAGTTTAGTTCTACCAAAGAAACACAATCTACAACAACACCTCAATTAACATTTACAACAGCTGTGTCCACTATGAACACAACCACAATAGAATCTTCTACAAGTGAAAGTGGATCAACGGCAGAATTTACATTTTCCACAACAGGCACCTCTCCAATTTCACCGTCTACAACGACAAATGGACAAACTCCATCAAAATCAATATACTTCTACCACTGAAACAGAATCTACAACATTAGCTCCATCAACATTTACAACAACTGTGTCCCCTCTGAGCTCAACTACAATAAAGTCATCTACAGTTGAAAGTGGAGCAACGGTGGAATCTAAATTATCCACAACAGATTCTACTCCATCTTCAGCATCGTCTACAACAGAAGGACAGACGTCAGAATTCACTTTATCTACAACAGAGATATCCTCATCTAATGTAGAACAAACAACAAGCCAGCAGACACCAACCACTCAATATACTTCTACCACTGAAACCGAATCTACAACATTAGCTCCATCAACATTTACAACAGCTGTGTCCGCTATGAGCACAACCACAATAGAATCATCTACAAGTGAAAGTGGTTCAACACAGGAAACAACATCATCCACAAAAGATACTCCATCTTTACCATTGTCTACAACAGAAGAAAAGACAATATCAGAATTCACTTCATCAACAGAGATATCTTCATCTAGTGTAGAACAAACAACAAGCCAGGACATACAAACAACTCAGTTTAGTTCTACCACAGAAACACAATCTACAACAACACCTCAATTAGCATTTACAACAGCTGTGTTCCCTATGAGCACAACCACAATAGAATCATCAACAAGTGAAAGTGGATCAACGGCAGAATTTACATTATCCACAACAGGCACCTCTCCAATTTCACCATTTAAGACGACAGATGGACAAACTCCATCAAAACTCACTTCATCAACAACAGAGATATCTTCATATAGTGTAGAACAAACAACAAGCCAGCAAACACAAACCATTCAGTTAAGTACTACCACAGAAAAAGAATCTGTTGCGACAAGTCAATCAACATTTACAACCGCTTTGTCCCCTATAAGCACAACCACATTAGAATCGTCAAAAACTGAAAGTGGTACAACTCTGGAAACAACATCATCCACATTAGATACTTCTCCCTTTTCACCACTGTCTACAACAGAAGTACAGACAATGTCAGAATTCACTTCATCTAAAGAGATATCTTCATCAAGTGTGGAAAAAACAACAAGCCAGCAGGCACAAACCATTCAGTTAAGTACCACCACAGAAATAGAATCTACAGAGACTAGTCAATCAACATTTACAACCACTGTGTCCCCTATGAGCACAACCACAACAGAATCATCTACAAATGAAAGTGGATCAACAGCGACAACTAAATTATCCACTACAGATTCTACTCCATCTTTGCCATCTTCTACAACAATCGGAGAAACAACAGTAGAATTCACGTCATCTACAACAGTAATATCTCCATCCACTGCAGAGAAAACAACAAGCCAGCAGACACAAACCACTCAGTCTGCCTCCATCTTCACCACTGTCTACAACAGAAGGACAGACAACATCAGAATTCACTTCATCTACAACAGAGATATCCTCATCTAATGTAGAACAAACAACAAGCCAGCAGACACCAACCACTCAATATACTTCTACCACTGAAACCGAATCTACAACATTAGCTCCATCAACATTTACAACAGCGGTGTCCGCTATGAGCACAACCACAATAGAGTCATTTGCAAGTGAAAGTGGATCAACAGTGGAATCAACATTAACCACAACAGGTACGTCTCTGTCTAGTGTAGAACAAACAAGACAGAAGACACAAACCACTCAATATACTTCTACCACTGAAACAGAATCTACAACAACAGCTCCATCAACATTTACAACAGCTGTATCTCCTATGAGAACAACCACAATAGAATCATCTACAAGTGAAAGTGGTTCAACACTGGAAACAACATCATCCACAACAGATTCTACTCCATCTTCACCATCGTCTACAACAATAGGACAAACAACAGCAGAATTCACTTCATCTATAACAGTAATATCTCTATCCACTGCAGAGCAAACAACAAGCCAGCAGACACAAACCACTCAATATACTTCTACCACTGAAAGAGAATCTACACCATTAGCTCCATCAACATTTACAACAGCTGTGTCCGCTATGAGCACAACCACAACAGAATCATCTGCGAAAGAAAGTGGCTCAACACTGGGAACAACATCATTCCCAACAGATTCTACTCCATCTTCACCATCGTCTACAACAGAAGGACAGACAACATCAGAATTCACTTCATCTACAGCAATATCTTCATCTAGTGTAGAACAAACAACAAGCAAGGACATACAAACTACTCCGCTTAGTTCTACCACAGAAACACAATCTACAACAACACCTCAATTAACATTTACAACAGCTGTGTTCCCTATGAGCACAACCACAATAGAATCATCAACAAGTGAAAGTGGATCAACGGCAGAATTTACGTTATCCACAACAGACACCTCTCCAATTTCACCATCTACAACGACGGATGGACAAACTCCATCAAAACTCACTTCATCATCAACAGAGATATCTTCATCTAGTGTAGAAGAAACAACAAGCCAGCAGACACAAACCATTCAGTTAAGTACCACCACAGAAAAAGAATCTACAGAAACAAGTCAATCAACATTTACAACCACTGTATCCCCTATAAGCACGAACACATTAGAATCGTCAAAAACTGAAAGTAGTTCAACTGTGGAAACAACATCATCCACATCAGATACTTCTCCATCTTCACCACTGTCTACAACAGAAGGACAGACAACATCAGAATTCACTTCATCTACAGAGATATCTTCATCAAGTGTTGAAAAAACAACAAGCCTGCTGACACACTCCACTCAATATACCTCTACCACTGAAACTGAATCTACAACATTAGAAGTATCTACAACACTTACAACAGCTGTGTCCCCTCTGAGTACAACCACAACAGAATCATCTACAAGTGAAAGTGGCTCAACACTGGGAACAACATCATTTCCAACAGATTCTAATCCATCTTCACCATCGTCTACAACAGAAGGACAGACAACATCAGAATTCACTTCATCTACAGCAATACTTTCATCTAGTGTAGAACAAACAACAAGCCCGCTGACACAAACCACTCAATATACTTCTACCACTGAAACAGAATCTACAACAACAGCTCCATCAACATTTACAACAGCTGTATCTCCTATGAGAACAACCACAATAGAATCATCTACAAGTGAAAGTGGTTCAACACTGGAAACAACATCATCCACAACAGATTCTACTCCATCTTCACCATCGTCTACAACAATCGGACAAACAACAGCAGAATTCACTTCATCTACAACAGTAATATCTCTATCCACTGCAGAGCAAACAACAAGCCAGCAGACACAAACCACTCAATATACTTCTACCACTGAAACAGAATCTACAACATTAGCTCCATCAACATTTACAACAGCTGTGTCCCCTCTGAGCACAACCACAATAGAGTCATCTACAATTGAAAGTGGAGCAACGGTGGAATCTACATTATCCACAACAGGTACGTCTCCATCTTCACCATCTACTACGACAGAAGGAGAAAGTACATCAGAATTCACTTCATCTACAACAGAAACATCTCCATCCAGTGCAGAGCAAACAACAAGCCTGGACATACAAACCTCTCAGTTTAGTTCTACCACAGAAACAGAATCTACAACAAAACCTCAATTAACATTTACAACAGCTGTGTTCCCTATGAGCACAACCACAATAGAATCATCCACAAGTGAAAGTGGATCAACGGCAGAATTTACATTATACACAACAGTCACCTCTCCAATATCATCATCTACAGAGATAACTTCATCTAGTGTAGAACAAGCAACAAGCCAGCAGACACAAACCATTCAGTTAAGTACTACCACAGAAAAAGAATCTGCAGCGACAAGTCAATCAACATTTACACCCGCTGTGTCTCCTATAAGCATGACCACATTAGAATCATCAAAACCTGAAAGTGGTTCAACACTGGAAACAACATCATCCACATTAGATACTTCTCCATCTTCACCATTGTCTACAACAGAAGGTCAGACAACGTCAGAATTTACTTCATCTACAGCAATATCTTCATCTAGTGTAGAACAAACAACAAGCCCGCTGACACAAACCACTCAATATACTTCTACCACTAGAACTGAATCTACAACATTAGCTCCAACAACATTTACAACAGTTGTGTCCCCTCTGAGCACAACCACAGCAGAATCATCTACAAGTGAAAGTGGATCAACAGCGGCAACTAAATTATCCACAACAGATTCTACTCCATCTTCTCCATCGTCTACAACAATCGGACAAACAACAGCAGAATTCACTTCATCTACAACAGTAATATCTGCATTCACTGCAGAGCAAACAACAAGTCAGCAGACACAAACCACTCAATATACTTCTACCACTGAAACTGAATCTACAACATTAGCTCCATCAACATTTTCAACAACTTTGTCCCCTCTGAGCACAACCACTGCTGAACAAACAAGTCAGCAGACACAAACCACTATTTCAATTTCAAGCACAGAAATACATTCAACACAGTCAATTCATTCGACATTTCCACCACTGGAAACCATTGGATCAATTTCTCCAGACTCACCTGCCTCACTCACTACAACTTCCCCCATTTTTGTAAATGACTCATCAACAGTTACTTGGTGTGAGTATTTAATCATACTATTCCTAAATGATCATTATTACACTTTGTGTTCTCTACTTTGTTTCTTATTTTACATATTCATTGTAAATTATTTTTGTTCACTGTGCTGTGGGCATTGAATCAATATTAAATTAGCACCCAAGATACTTGTTGTTAACAAGTTGTGAAGTGTGACAATTTAAGTTACTTGTATTGTGGGTTGTGTCACATTTTAGCTAAAACATTTGTGCATATGCTTTAGAGCTAAAACATGATACAACCCACAGCCATCCGATTTTTAATTACAAAAATACTTAGCACAATAATTGTCACAATTTCCAGCACACTTATGTTGAAATCTTTCTAAATCTTCACCTTAATTGCAGCTGAAAGCATACCCACAAGGAATGCAAGTATCTCTCTCGAAATTATGATGGTCTATCTTACGAAGTATAACGATGTGAACTCTACAGAATCAAAAAAACTAATTTCCATCTTAAAACGTGAGGTAAAGTTTTCTAGTTCCTTTTCTTGAAGTACTTTAAAGATCACAAATTTGCTCACAATTATTTCACATTGTGTATTAATTCAGTGGCCTCGAAAGTAGTCAGACTCTTAAGCCACACTTTAAAATGTATCAATGTTATTTGCAGTAGACAACTTTAAAAGTCATTTAAAACTTAAGTGAAATAAAACAGAAGTGAAAAAGGTCTGAAGTCAAATTAGATGTAAAATGCATTTACTGCAATAATGCATTCGTTGACTTGGAAACCCTACTTAGTAATCTTATTCAGTAGACGATCACAAATTTGCTCACAATTATTTCACATTGTGTATTAATTCAGTGGCCTCGAAAGTAGTCAGACTCTTAAGCCACACTTTAAAATGTATCAATGTTATTTGCAGTAGACAACTTTAAAAGTCATTTAAAACTTAACAGAAGTGAAAAAGGTCTGAAGTCAAATTAGATGTAAAATGCATTTACTGCAATAATGCATACATTGACTTGGAAACCCTACTTAGTAATCTTATTCAGTAGACATAAATCAAAAAGTTTGATGGCATCATGAAGGTTATTTTGTAATCATTTATATTTATTATTTAAATTATAATTATTATATATATTTATTATATTTGCAAAATATATTATGGATCAGTATTTATATTCAGAAAATGTTTTTTATTTTTATTTTTTGACAGCTTTCAATCCTTTGTAAAAGAGCAGATGCACAAAATTTCAAGGATGTGCAAATACATAGGCTAAAGTAAGTTGATTTCTCTCGAATTTCATACATTTACAAATATTTGCTAAGCAAAAGACATATTAATATGTGGCATGTATTTTTCTCATCTAGGAACGGAAGTGTCATTGCTGAAAGTATTGCAGTGTATAACTATCCCAACAACAACTCACAAATAATGTTTCTAAATAACGATTTGGGACCCACCCTGGAAAAAATCTTTAATGACTCAGATTCATTTAAAAATCTCAGCATAGCTCTCGGTAATGCTTCCATCCAAAATGCCGAAATTACCATGGGGACAGTTGAAATATCAGGTAAGTTGGGGGGGGGGAGGGGTTTTGGACAGATAACCTTCATTTAATATATTTTTTTTTAAAAAGCTAGACTTAATTTAAGGGACACGTGGATTATTGTTCTACTGCTTGTAATATGGCTTCAGATGACTATTGTATTAATTTATAGAGATCTTTAATTTGAATACCAGATTTATTTTTTTTATCTTTGTTGCGTGTAGATATTTCAGATCTACATCCATTTGTGCAATGCACCGTGAATTTTGCAAACTTTACAGTAGAGATTGAAGATGGAGCATGGGTATGTGTGGGATCATGCAAAAAAGATCCCAACTTCTGCAATCAACAAGGTGAATGCCAAAATGAAATAAATGGACCACAGTGCAAGTAAGTCCTTAAAAGCAAATTCTAATAAAACTACATGCACAGTTTTCAGTTGATCAAAGGATATTTACCTACAAATGATTAAAGTGGCTGCCTTCAGACTAAAAAAAAAGGTTATATAAAAGCTTATTACTTTAAGAATTAACAGAATATTTTAAAAAAGCAATTCAAACTTAACAAATCAACTTTTGAATTTGATGGGCAAGAATGAAATATCGGCAAAAGTTAATGTCTTCAGAAGTTAAGAAATAATTTCTTATCAACTCATCCTCATTTTGCTAATTGTCTAGCTGTTACAGTTCTTACTTTGAGAAGTACTATGGAGCTCAGTGTGAGCTTTACAGCAGAGGAGCCGGTTTCTACGCTGTTCTCTTCGGCTGTTTAGTAGCTTTTGCTCTACTTATCATCGTTTCAGCTGTGATGCTTGTGGTGCTCTACAGAGCCAAGAGGTCTGTATAACGGTTTCTGTGACTTATTCAAAGACCAAAACAAGAAAACAAACAAATAACACTGTGTTCTCATTTTAGCAGAACATCAAGCAAAAAAAGGCTATCATTATTTGACGATGACTTCTTTGATTTTACATCAAGAGGTATGATATCTATCTGTTGCTTTGTGCATGCTTTAGTAAATAGCCTATACTTCAGCAGCTGTACAATATGAAACTCTCAAACATGGGGAAAGATGTAAGAACTACATGACTGAAAATAATAACTATATTATTTCAGGATCCATAGACAGAGGTTATGGGCATCAAAACTTTTCAGTCAGAGAAGATTCGGAATCTGGGTCTTTCAGGTCATTCCATGAAAATACACCTATACAGTAGGATGAGCAATTGTGCATTTCATTTAATAAATATATTGGAAAAAGATATAAGAAACATAAGATGTATTGGTAGTTGAAAGCTCGCTTCCTTTTTTAATCACAATTTTCTTCCTGTCTGCTACAGATAAAGACCACAGCAACTGAAGTGGTGGGTGACTGATGAACAGAGATGACAGATATTATTTTAAATATTTTTTAAAAGACGTCAAACACTATAATCTCAGGAAGCCAACATAATACTACATGCATTTACTGGGTTTGTTTTAGATTATTTAGAGTATTTCAAGTAAAATCTATTCTACTCTCTTTTCTATTTCTACTTTCTTTCTTTTTTTAAATAAAAAATACCCTCTAACACTAGCGTTTCCTATTCTTTTTCTATTCTATCTACCTGTTTTCTTTTTATTTAGCCTATTATTAAAAAAAAAAAAAACTTGCTACTTGTACTGCGTTAGGCTAACCAAGACTTGTAACTGCACTTACATATTATTGCCCTTTTGCTGCTTTTGATTGCTTTTATTGTCCTCATTTGTAAGTCGCTTTGGATAAAAGCATCTGCTAAATGACTAAATGTGGTAAATGTAAAATGATTGTCAAGTATCTGTTCATAATAATACATAACACAAGAACAATGTATAAAGCACCACTGTAAAACTCAGTCACTTAAAAGCACTCATCTATGATACCAAGCACTCCAGCATATGCATAAATCAATAGTAGGCTAAACAAATTAAATAGGTCGGGGCTGTTAATATATGGTCCACTACTTTACACAAGAGCCCACCCACAAATAATCACAAAACAGGCCAATCAGAACAATTCTGTCTGTTTGCGCACCCTGTTGCACACATACCTTGTATTTTTATGATTTCTGTGATGCTTCACTAGAGGGCATGCTTTCCGTGGGTTATGGTTAGTCATGTAAACTCCTCTTTTACACCGTCACTCTCTCTTCGTCCATGTTTGATAATTAATATACATTAGACGCTGTACTTCGGTCCAATGAGCTGACGGTGTGGGCGGGGCTTCCTGCTCAACGCCACATAAATACAAACCAAGCGCGATCCTCGCAGTTTGTTGATATTTACATTTAGACATTTAGTAGACGCTTTTATCCAAAGCGACTTACAATATAATAACATAAGCAATAATATTCGTAGTATACAATGCAAGGTTTATTAGAAAGCTATATATAAGTGAGCAATAAGAGAGAAAAGCAAAAAGATTTGTTTTCTTCTATGAGAGTTTGTTACTCTGGGGTTTAAAAAGTACATTTGTAATAATAATCATCTCCATAAATAATTACATATTTTATTCTAATTGCTAATCTATTTACAATGCTACCACATTAACCAGTTAGTACAGTCAGTTATGCTGTTTTTTAATATTTGTTTTTGTTGACACTGTAGGCTACTTTTACTCATATAGTATCAATGGTTTTTGTTATGATAGTATTGCTCGTGTTTACATTGGAAGCGCATTAATGTATTGTTAAATTAATATTTATAGGGAATATAACTGTGCCCAAATAAAATTCTTAAAATAAAGAATGTGCAACATTACTAATTGCTTGCTACATTGACCATCATGTGCATCAGGATTTTGTGAAGGAAAAAAACTGTTGCGATGTAGTTATAAGGTCACTAGGAGGCACTACAGACTTAATTATTCGCCACCTCATCCTCACCTGTTTGGCTGATGCTTCTCATCATCAAAGGCGTCTTTTACTTTTATATAGTAGTTTGGTCTATCTTGGTCCCATTCTGTAGTCTTAGTCGGATTTCAAAATAGGAAATATATAACGACAATATAGCCTACCACATTTATGCACATTGTGTAGGTACTTCATGACCACTTTCATAATGCACAAATATTTTCAGAGCTGATATACAGCATTGAACAGATTGATAATCTGTGTTCTCTTAAACCTCACTAAATATTTCTAAATAAACATAGTTTGCTATGCTAAACACTCCTTAATTTACTTGTCATTTAGCTGAGGCTGTATGCATATGCCACACCTGTATGATCGCAAAAGATGCTATCTGCTCTGGACGTTTATATATATTAGTTACACACACAAACACACTAAGAAGGAAAGTATATGAATGAAATAAATGATTTATTTTATTTATCTTATAATTTCTTTATTTCATTATTTAACAATTTAGGGAGGTTTATGCAAAAATGTACACAATATAAATAATAAATTATAAAAATTATATATATATATATATGTATGTATGTATGTATATCTATATATGTGTGTATATGTTTAAAAAAAATCTTTGAGATGCAGGTTAGGCTGTGGGTTTGGGTTAGACTGTAGTAATTACAACTAGCTTTATATAAAAACAATAGACACATCTCTAATTAGTGTCGACATCAGAAATGGATATTATATAATAGATGCTTTTTTGAACATTTTAGCAATTTAAAAATATTAAAAAATGATTTTTTTACACGGCACCCCGATTGGGAAACACTGATCTATGGTATGTCTTCATTTAGACAGCCGTGTATATTTGTGTGTGAGTAAGTGAATGTTTTTATAGGGTTGATAGATAATAGATCAGGGGCATCTAAACTAGCTGTTTGCATTTTTTGGACCTGTGGTTAAACCATCTCTAGTTCCTCCCTTTTGTCTGCTTTTGATGGTGCTGTGTGATTAATCAGGAAGTTTATCTTTCTTTAAGAGTTGAATTACTGGTTTGCAAAGAGTCATTTCCATTTCACATGTGAGGTGAATCAACCGAAAATATCTCTGAAATGACTGTTCTGTGTCATTACTATTATTTTTAGGACATTTTTAATAAATGCCACCAGATAAAGTTTGAGTTATAAAAAGAAATAATTAATGTTTTCAATTCAGTGTTAGTGTAATATATAATTTTCAAATGCTTAGACAGCATCTCCTGAGAGTATGTGCTGATAGATTGCTTAAAATAAATCTGAAATAAAATGTAAATATTAGATGAAAAACTTTAATAAAAATTAGGGATGTTTCTTTGGCAACTAACTGAAACAAAAAATTTATTAAAATGACTGAAGTACTAAAATTATTCAATTAATTAGAGCTATATTAATATTAAAAAATCTAATAAATATGACACGTACATAAAATTACTGAAACTAAAATGAAAACTGAAATATAAAAATAAAACAGAAACCGAGTAAAAGCAGCTGAAGATAAAGAGCATGACTTCATTTCATGTAATCTGAGACAAATTTGTCAAGAAAAAGTTTATCTGTTCATCACATTATCATGAAAAAGTACAATAAAGATGTAATTTCAATTTCAGTTTCAAGAAGCTACAGTGTTAGAAAGCAATGGCAGACCACATGACGTTCTAGGTGGTCATATTTATGATTAACAACACGGTTAATTTGAGCTTCTATATGTTATTTAGTATTCATTTGAAAGGTTTGGGACATGCAGGGAACTTACTGTTTGCTTATTTCATCCATCCAAGGCTTATGGGCAAAAAAAAAAAAAAGACCAGCTTGAGATTCATTGTAGTTTCTATATATCATTTTATCTTGAAAATGATCAGTTTTGGACATGTAGGGAACATATTGCTTGCTCATTTCAGCTGCTTATCATTTCATCCAAGGCTTTTACGCCTTGGAAAAAAAAAAAAAAAAAAGACCAGAGAAACAGCATTTTCCCCGATCAGCAAGGCAGAAAATACCGGTCTATGGGAGTAATTCTCAGGTTTGCTAGATGGTGCCCTGTAAAACCGCTCCGAGACACGCATCCCTTCAAACCAACCCATCATCTCCGTAAAACGCAACCACAGAACTGATCTAAGATCGGTTTTAAAGTGCAAAAGTACAGTTCACCTTCCTCCTGTCTGGAGCCAGGCCAATAGTAATGAGGCAGAGCACGGGGCGTGGATGTGATAAAACAGGCAAAACGGCTATATCTCTGCGTTTCACAGAGATACAACATACTTCAGAGAATGAAATACAACAATATCAGATAAAGACAAACTTGATTCATAAATAAGTTTATTTTTATGACTTTAAAAGGATACAATACACTAAAAACTATTCAGTTTGGGTAAGAGGACAATGTTAAATACTTTTACACATCACAACATACTGTTTTCTCAGTGCACTTTGCTTTATATATATACACACATACACACAACAAAGCAGAGATGTCTATTGCTTCTTGAACTTGCCTTCATTTTTTAGGTAAGACTGCTAAAGGAAAATAACAACGTATAATGTAAACATTTCCTGATACACAAACTGGTAAAATAAAGGGTAAAAAAAAAAAAAAAGCATGGCATCAAATGAGTTCAAATCCCTACGCGAGGTGGAAAGTTGTACTTTATCTCAGAGCTTCCAAACAGCATGTTTTTATAGTCTTACTATCCTCTTTTTAAATTGCATGGCACTTGCTACATTTACTGAGTTATCATGATGGTTCTGGAAACAATATAGAATAATAAACCATCTCATTCACCAGCTGCCAGCAGCCAAAGTCTCTGGTGCCCACACCCACTGCAATCACGTCTAACAGGAAGATCAGTATGTGTGAGCTCAGCCAAATGCACCACACATGGACTTTGACTCCACGTAGCTCTTAAAAATCGGTCGAAGATGCGTTTTCTTTGAGGAAGTGTTAATGACTGACTGTTTTGAAAGGGGCAAAACATAAAAAAAAATACAGATCAGGAGCAAATGTTTCCTTGTACGGACCTGTGTGCATCAAAGTAGGTTGTATTTGTTGAGCCTTTGTAATCCGTAGTTGGGTATTTAAGAAGTAGAATTATAATGGGAGGTAGTACTCGAGAAATCCTATTGCAGACAATAGCTCACAGCTTCACGTGGAGACAGCACTTTAAAGAGGAGAGAAACTCATTCACAGGTTTTACAAGTATTGCTTTTTGTGCAACAAAAGAACACACTACACCTCAGTGAGAAGCCAGGGATCGGAAATACTCTGTTCATTCAGAGGGCAACATTTCAGATGCCGATTTAAGCAGCTTATAAAAGCTTCAAAGTAGTGCCAAAAGTGGGCAAATGTAACACATTCAGCTCTCGTATCACTCACACACACAGAAAAGCAATAATTAGCCTGTTCCTATGTAACACACAATCAAGACTACAGACTGTACTGACAAAAAGGTGAGATCATTAGTCTAACAGAAGAACTGCAAAATAGTGTGCATGTGTCAGATTTCGTGCTTGCATGCATTATGCAATGCAATAAAATGGAATACCCTTCACTTAAAATGCCGGCCATGAAAAAGTCAGGCCGTTTTTATACTTCATATATGGTAGACGTTACAAACAAAGAAGCATTTACTGACCCTATGTCCCTATGATCAGATGAACGTGTTCAACTACATGTTCCGAGACATAAAAATAATCTTCAATGCAATATAAAACGACTACAAAAATTTACAACACTGAAGTATGGAGGTACCAGACCAGCTAATACCAAACAACTGCACCATGTTATCATTTCAACACTTACATTTCACATAACAATGAATTTAAAAAAACAAAAAAACAACAACATCGAAATAGTTTCCGAGCTCGCTCTATGAGAACTGTTAGAATCGTTTCCAGGCTGAGAGCAAAACAAGAGAAATCCCAGTAACTGCAATTCATACGTAACTCGCTCGGAGCGCTAGAGCAAAGCTGCAACAAAGCAGCGGAAAAAGTCTCAGGGGTTATCAGACAAGCGTGCCCCGGTTATTTCATACCAGGTCTATTTGGTGTGTCGTTTTCCTTTTGCTTTGACAGTCCCAGTCTGAACTCGAATCGGAGGCGTCCGTGCCCCGACTCGCTGTGCTGTCCGTAAAATACTTCTCATGTTTGTCCAGGTATGACGGACGTTGTGGCATAAGAAAAAAGTTATTAAACCTGTTATACTGTATTATGACAGCACTTTTTTTTAAACTTAATTTCAATATCGTGATAATACCGTATACCGTAATAAAAGCATTAGCAATTAATCGCAACATGAAAATTTGATACCGGCATATCCCTACTTGGCCACATGTCACATCACTTTTTTTTTTTTTTTTACATACACTTTGATGCACTTTTGATTCATCTAATGACAACATGTTTTCTTATCCCTCTCTCTAGTATATAGTATATGTTTAAGGAATTGTTAAATGCCATTATTTACTCCCTCAAGTCACTGCAAACCCATATGCATTTTTTTCTGTGGAATGCAAAGGGATCATTTTGCAGTTCTTTCCATACACAGACTGTTCATAATGACCACTTCTGTCAATCTCCAAAAAGGAGGGGGGAAAATGCAACAAACACACCATAAAAGTATCACATACACTATATTTCACTAAAGTAGCCTTCTGAAGACATACAACAGTTTTATGTGAGCAACAGACTGAAATTTAATGTGTAGTTAAAAACTTTTTCCATCTGCTGCTCTTAAATCAAAAATGGCTCCTCAATATATAGTGCAAATCTATTTTTAAGGTGTTTTTTAGTGCTGTTTGGTGCTTTTGTCCATGGTCACTCTGAATTGTCACCAAATGTAAAGAAAGATGCTTTAAAATCCTCCCGTTGAAAAAAAAAAAAATTACACCAGGTTTGGAATGAAATGAGGGTGAGTAAATTGGAGTGAACGTTTCATAATGAGGAGATTTATGTTGCTATGTTACTTACTGTCCGCTCTTGAGAATGATGGCAGCACCTGTTGCCGGGACTGAAGGTTATAATCCATAGAAGAATCAATGGTGAAGTATAAGCTGTAGATTAAGAATAGGAAAGCCAATCAGATTGATACACAAATCCAAGGTTCATTAACATCATATGAACCATGTTGCACACAGGCCATTTCCTGCTTTTCTGCTCAGTCATGCAGTGAATGTCCAGGGTCTTGTAAAAATCATCCATGTTCAACACGTGAAAAATGCATTTGTGCTTTTGGTGTTGCACTCACTTGTGTAGATCATGGTATTTCCAAGAGGGCTTAGCTCCGGCCATGCTATGCCAATGGCTGCCCCGCAGGAATAGGCTTTGCGCGGGTAAACAGATCTCCTGAGCAGTCAAGCCTGCAGTGGACATGCTCCAGCTGCAGTCGGTTCGCATTCAGGCCAGGAAATGCTCCTCCCGCCAAGCTGGCAGCTGCTGGCCTGTACCTGAAACACAGCCATGAGAGGACAAGAGCATGAATCTCTGGAATATCTCAATTTTTCTCAAACGCAGCAATTTGATTAAATGAGGAACAAATACTGAAGTCTCCTGCTTCTCAAATTCTGTCTTACTGAGAAAAGGACCTCAGTAATTTCACAAGTCTTATCTTTAAGAGAATATTCAATAGATATTTCTATTATCTCAGTTGTTTCTCCTATACAGCAATGAGCTTGAATTGAGACTTTGAGGAAAAATGACCTAGGAATCTCACAGGTTGAGATCTCGGCTAAAACTCTATAGAAGACTCAGTTTTATACTCAAATCTGCTAGATCTCAATATGAACTCAAACATCTCTCACAAAACTGATCCTCAAACATTTCCCACAAAACTGATATTATATAACTCCATACTAAATTTTACGTGCGGTCGTCACCAGTTTTTTAAAACGCACAACATATTAAAGCGTCTTTGGTGTTTCCATGTTTTCTACAAAACAAAACTGGAAATCGAGGGGTTATGAGATCAATGTGCGTGCTTTTGCTTGCTCTTTGACAATTAATGACACAGAAATGGCAAATAAAACTGAAATCAAATGTAAAATTGACGTAGAAAGACAAAAAAAAAAGTTTTTTGTAAAAAGTATTTTAAACAATAATCTTTGCCTTATTTACAACTTCGAACAATTAATTTTCACATTGTCTTATTTGTGTATATTTTAATTTTAAGGGAACCATCCAAGAAAAAGTTAATACTTGAAAGAAATACCATCAAGTGCTCCGTTAAGCTATGAAAGAGCAACCTTTGAGCAGTGAAATGTTATCATTACCTCTATTATGACCATATGAACATTCAAACCCTAACTGAGATCAGTGCAATGGTTTTGGTGTTGTTGTGGAAGAACTGAGACATTGTCTAGTCGTTTATGGAGCAGTGTGCCCTGGGCTATCAGCACACCTCCTCCTCGCATCCCCTCGCTTTGCAATGCAATCAGCCATGTGCACGGGACTCTAGATGCGCTCTTTCAGAAAAGAACATTGAGCAACATTCTGCTGAGCTTCACAGCCTGTGGTATGACAAGCGCTCAGTTTGACAGCACTAAACGACACTTGTGCCCCCAAAGCCCCGAGGATAGAGCCAAACCAAATGCTCAAACAGCACAAACTTCACCACAAAAGACTCAATCCTGTCATGTAGGATGCATTGACAGCATACAATTGATCACTTTGCTTCATTCAAAGGAAAATACTGCTCTGCAGTTTTGTCTGCAAGCATGACTCTCTGAGATTATCGTGCAAATGCTAAACTCAGAGGAAGTTTTCTAATATCAAATGATGTATGCAAATGAGTCTCAAATTTCCTGCCTTGGGAACAACTTATGTTGAAAGGAAATTGCATCTAGCGTTACCATATGGTGTAACACTGGAGAAAGCAGTTGCTTCTAGAGTAGAATCCAGTAAAATGTTTTTCGCTCTTTGAGAAACCAGCTTTACACCCCTGAGAACGTGAAGAGTGATGGACCTGGAGGCAAGGTTCATTCTGGTTTTAGCTTACAAACACATATCATGCTGACAAGCTATCAAATCACCAACATTACAGCGGTCTTCCAGAGATACAAACAACTCATGTACCCTATTAAACCGCAATTAGCATTTTATAGAACATTTTATTGCAGGGCTGTTTTGCAAGCAACAGACACAATGCATAAGCATGGTTCAATACATTTCTGCAGAACTGAGTGTGATATGCAACAGGAGCATTCCCATATTTCATAAATAACCAGCGTGATACACAAAAGTAAAATCTAGTCAAAGATAGCACTGCAATGCATTTCATAAATGGGTATGTGATCAAACCAGGTCAGTTGGTTCAACAGGGATGTGCATTTCGGTCTACCGTCCCTGATCCAGTTCATATATGCAAGCAGTTATGCATCCTGAAAGCTTTGGACCTTGGATACGGTCACTATGAGCACTATGAGCACACAATGCAACCTGATCTGTGATAAAGAACCCCACGGGACAAGCACTTCCTCTCACAACAGGTGCAAGACGGACAGGCTTCCTAGTGTCCAGCACAGACATTTCTCAATGCCTTCGGGAAGACAATGCCAATGTGTTGCAAAGACTTTAAGTAAACAAAGTGTGCCAAATGTGCTCGTTGTAGCATAAACCCCATGAAACATTCTATAAAAAAATAAATAAATAAAAAAAAAAAAAACTTACAGATGAACATTTATTAATTCTATCCTTTTCTACATTTAAATCTGAGATATCAGAACCAAAATGGTACATTTGACTGCACTGTGCAAGAAAAACATCAGTGAATCTTACAAAACCTGTCAAGAACATCACAATTCACTCCTAAAAAAAAAACACAAACACAAAACAACAGCTTATTTTAGTACTTTTAAGACTGATATTATCTTCACGACAAATAACTATATTCATTAATTCAGCATAAGTGCCACAATACAATATACTGCTAAATATTTATTACATTACATTACAGGAAACATACAGTAAAGAGAATATGATGCTTCTGCATTATCAAGTCATGTCACCTTTATTTTTATAGCACTTTTCAAAGCAGCTTCACAGTATTAGACAGGAAAGTAATAGAATTCATGATGCAAACTTATTAAATATGAGGCAAATTGAAGTTCTCTATAAGCTCTATTAAGACAATAGTGTCATTATGTCATTATTTCAGAATTGGATTACAAATGTGCTTCATTGTGAAAGTGATGTAGTTAATAGTAGCTAATAGTTCTAAAAATAGGCTTGATTTTCTGCATGCAAAATATAATTTCTTAAATTTACAGTCAAATGTTCTTGACAGCAAGCAATGGATCTATTGGAAAGACATGAAATACTGCATATGAACACTGGGCACTTCAAAAGCGGTTCTAGTGCACATCTAATGTGTGCATATTCAGAATACAAACACAAGTTTATACAACAATTTTAAGCCACTCATTCGGTCACAAAAAAATATTTCAAAAAGAGGTCCAGTAGTAAAGTGTAAAGTCATTGTACGTGGCCTGAAATTACGAAATATCTGCGTCCTGACAAACCACTGATATGACATTGTGAGAAGGTATGAAGGAGAGACAGTCGCGCGCGTTCACACCCCGCTCTTGTCACCTCCGCCGCGGTTTCCAAGCAACCATACCCGATCTACCTGTCCGCTTCCGCAAACTGGCCGGATGAGTCACTTTTTACACTCTATCACACCTGACGAAACACACCTCGTACATTTTTAAAGTAAAAAATACAGATGTTCCACGAAATGAAGCAACATATGTCAACGTCACATATTATGACACTATCAGCTGACCATCATCATAATCATTATTATTATTATTATTACTATTATTATTATTATTATTATTATACCAACATTCTATAACAAAATCATTCTTAAATATAAATAAAATAAATTATGTTTTAGAACTATACTATATACGCTTCCCTCCAAATTGAACACACACACACACCTTATCTGATGCCCTGTCACAGAATCTGATGATATCTTGACACACGTCACTGTCGTCATCAGCACACACACACACACACACACACACATAGAGAGAGAGAGACAGACCACAAACACAGACAATGCGATAAACGCAATAAAATTCACCTTAATCTCCTGACAGATTCTAGGTGTCCGGCGTTAAAAGTTCATAATGCCGTAATGATCCTGTTCGACCCGTTTGAAAGCTTCAGTTTAGCTCTATAGATGCGAGAGGACGTTCATTACAGCGTTCGAGAGGTTCGTTAACAATCGGGTCTTCTGTGTGCGCGGTGCTTTAAATGCTTCACTGCAGGCAGAGGGACACGCAAACCCCGCCCCTTCCAGACGGAATTTAAAGACACAGTGCGCACACTGCTGCTATCTGTGAATGTCTCTGCATTATTGTTACCCTCTGTGTGTTATGTATTTGTTTTCTCTACATGTTTTCTATGAAAATGCATATGAAGTTTGATTTGGAAAAATAAGACAGCATACAAGGACACACCTGTTTTCATTGTGAATGTGGGAATTTATTAGTTTTTATAGGAAAGTGATGATATTTTTCTAAACTTCAAACCCCACAAAACCTGCTGATTTCAGTATATTTAAAGGAAACCATGACACATAATGAGGATAAATGCCCTCATAATGGCATGAAAGAAAGTAAGGCCCTTACAGAAATACAAAGAAATATGCATTTCAATTTGTAATTGTCCTCCATAGAGACAAAAAATACGAATTGGAACATTTTGTAAGAATAAAAAATACAAATAATCACAAAAACATTTATTTATAAAATATTATATATTTCATCATATATTTTTTTCAATTTACATCCACTACTCGACTACAGTTATCAAAAATGCATTTCTATAAGGATACACAACTACTTTTAGAATTTAGATCATTAACCTCATACATCAAACTCGTTCCTATTTATATTCTGAAGGTTTTTACAGAGTGGTTTGTTTATATATCACTTGTCTGATTTTATGCAACATTTTATTCTTTTTTTTTTTTCTTTTACTGGCTGTTGATAGTAATTTCTGATTTATGAGATGAAATGTGATACTTTTAGAATTCAGATTATTGAACATCTGGTGAATTTTTCAGTGTTCCCTGTATAGAAATTTTATTTTTCCCAAAAGCAACGTGCTATTAAAACTGAAATCCACCCTTTTCCTTTCTATTATTAAAAACACAACAAACTAATTATTTGGGGCTTATTTCAGAGCCATAGTTTAAACAAACCTGTGCATTTGAAATATTAAATATACCATAATGAATTTAAAATGTGGCTTTGAGGCACACATCAAAGCAAACAAACATTAGGTACCTGGAACCAGACAGACTGCTGACATGCATGAGAGTCCAGAGTCCTTAGAGTCAAGAAGTATTTGAACAGACAGACAAGACCATACAAGGCTAAAGAACCTCAGTGAGAAGTGCAAAGAGAGACAGCTAATGCACAGAATGACGAAAATAAGGGCCCACAGCCCTGAATCCACACAAACAGTTAGACAGACAAAAGGTGGCTCCATTGCTGATAAGAAAGCACGCACAGCAAACACTGTGATGTTTTACTGCTACATTATATTTACCAACCTGTCAAGATGGAGCCCATATTGTCTGCAAGCTAGATGGATATGGGTGATGTCTCTTCATTATGATCTGTGCAGGGGTAGATAACAGCTGCTGTACATCATATATAATATACCTCTGATTCAGTCTTATCCAGATGCCCATGTGCATGTGAGATGAAGAGATCTCATCCCAGTGATTATGCACGTTTTCAATAGATTTCTGTCAGGTCGCAGGTCTGTTATGGGCAGTAAAAACAGAAAGCTAAATGCAAATAATAAAATGCATTTAACCATGTATCATGTAATCATGCATAATTATGATGTAATGTTGATGTCAAAGTCTGTGTGTCCAATCGAACTTGTATTTTGGTGCAAATTCATCTGCCACTTATACAACATGGACAAGTTGAGTGACTTGCCCTCATCCACAAAAAAATCATAAAGAAAATTACTTATAGATATTGCAATCCAGACTACATTAAATTCAAGCTAGGACAAAGATGGTTTATGCCAAATAAAAAAATTTTTGGCCTTATGTTGTTGATGTCAGTGTCTGTGTTCAATCAAACTCTGCTGCATTTTAGTGCAAATTTAATCTGTTACTGAAGTTAGAGAAGCCAACACGGACAAGTGGCATGCCCTCATTCTAAAAAAACTGTTATTTTGAATGTTCTCTGAATGTTCAAAACATCCAAATTTTAAATGTTTGTTTTTATTCTTGTTTATATATATATATATATATATGTGTGTGTGTGTGTGTGTGTGTGTGTGTGTGTGTTAAGGGAACATTCCATTTTATTGTTTTGTAACCATTATGGGAATGTTACTTTTGATCTGAACATTCTGAAAATAGTAACATTTATAAAAAGTTTGATGATGTATAAATAACAATGTTGTGCTAATGTTTTTAGAACATTATTGAAGATCAGATAACTTTGAATGAATAATCTATTAACATTACTGAAAAAAACGTTTGTTCATAACTTTGGGACAAGCTTGCCAGAATGTTAACCAAAGTTCTGAGAATGTTCCCTGTTAGCTGGGTTAAAGTGAAATCAGAAAAACCATGAAGAAAAATACTTGAAATGAAAGCAAATGCAACTCAGACTACATTAAATACAAGCTAGAATTAGAACAAACATAGTCTATGCCACAATGTGATTTTTAACAATGTTTTACTTTTTTGTTCATTGAGCTGCACTGATTTAGTCTGTATGAACCCACTAATAAATTCAACAAATACTTTTAAAGTGTTAAATAAAATCTGGCCACTCACTCCATGCCATAAGACCATTATAACTTGCACACTAAGGGCGAAGCTTATGGTCAAACACAATGCAACACAAAAAAAAAAACCTGAAAGAGCTAAACAAACAGAGCTGAGAGGCAGGAATGCAGCAGGAACAAAATGTGCTTGTGTTACAGTGTTGCAAATCTCCGTGTCTGGCCTTGGCCCCCAAACCCAACAGGCTTATCTTCCGATATTTGGCCGTGGATGAACCGACTCACTTTAATCCCCTAATAATTTCAAGAACATTCCACACATTCCAGCAGGCCAGTTGTAGCCAGCAGGAGAGTGAACTAAATGTTGATTTTTGACATTGTACTAGTGGCAATTCACACAAAGGTGAACATGCGTGCATGAATCAATAAGTGTGCACTGGGTTTGTGTGTAAATGTGTATATAATTGTGATAGTAACTGACAGCATGCATATATGCATTTACAAGGATTAGAAGTTATTAAATTTGTCTATTCATTAACCCAGCTAAATCAGCTTTGTCCACCTGAAATGGCTTCCCTACAGGATGCATGGCCACTTAAATAAAAGTCTGTTTCTGCGTCATTCAATGTACCTCACTTTGCAATCAGGTGTGGAGACAGAACTGAACTGATCTGAGCTCAGATTGCCTTGTGTTGATAGAAACACGGCCATGAACTTTCCTCCGTTGCCGGATCCCTCCCAACTCTTGCTTCTTGTACACACACACACACACACACACACACACATAGACATTCAACCACTCCACTGTTGATATGATGTCATCGTACGCACACATAGGAAGTGCCTTATAAAGTCAGGCCATCATGCACCTTTGGAGCAGAAAGGGTCACTTAACCAGGCTTGAAGGAACACCTGCTTGAAATGTTTAAACAATAGCATCACAGTAGGGTTGGATACACATAAGGAACACCGATCTGGATTTAAAAGATTTTAAAGGCAAACCATGGCAAAACATGTTGAAGTTTGGTGAAGGTGAAGTTGATGAAGCTGAAATAAGGCTAAGTTTAAAGACAGTGATTTTTCTCTCATAACGCAACACATTTTTGAAAGAAACAGGATAATCAGTGAGAAATTTTTTTTTGAATGGATTGTGAATATATGAAAAACTCTATGAAAAATATGACACGTAGTTGAAAGGAAACAAAAACCATTTCAGCGGCGGAGAAAATTATTACATTCTGATGAAAGATTACAATCATGGTTTTCTTAGAAATAACATGCAATGACTGTGCATAAAAAGACCAGTATTGTGTCTGTGTTAAAAAGGTAAATGGAGTCCATTTTTATGTCATATTGACTTTAAAATGAAGGTTTCAAGCTGGACGCTTCTGTTTGCACTCCTTCAAGCACTAGTCAATTCTGAGATTTTGGGCTTGTTAGTTTTGCATAACATTTTGTTTCAGACTAGTTTTTTTGTTGTTGTTTTTTTTCCCTGCACAAAGCCAGAAATCTCCACTTCAGCAGCACTTACATACACACATTTGCATGATTTAAAACGACGTTTTATTCCTAAAACATGGTGAATGTGTATTACTTTCTGTTGATTATATTTTCTGATTAATGGAGTGATAAAAAAAGAGATATCTAATAGATAGATATCTCTAATATGACAACAAAATGAAACAAGAATTTTGAAACTGATTTTAGATTTAGATTTCTGTCCAAGTAGTATATGCAAATTAGTGCATATTTAATTACATTATCCCTAACTTGCATATTTTAACATAACATTTCAGAAAACGTGCAATACAATAAATGTTTGGAGTTCTTAATGTAATCAATCAACTGGGCTCTTTAAAATCTTAGTTACTTCTTCTTGACAACAATGAGCTGAAATAGAGAGCAGATTTCTTAACCCCAGCAACCTCAAGTGTCTCGTGTAGAGTTTCAGAAGAGATCAGTGTCTCAAACCGTTCTCAGATATGTCAAGTCTTAAAGTCAGAGATCTCAATATGAAGCTTTCTCCACATTCATTATAAGGAGAAATGAATGTGTTATCCACATTCATTGCATAGCTCTTATTGACATGTCTATTTTTTATTTCTCCCAATGAATTCTAGAAGAAGAGAAACTTAAAGGGATAGTTCACCCAAAAATGAAAATATGCTGTTAGGTTACTCACCCGCAGGCCATCCGAGATTTAGGCGCCTTGTTTTTTTTTTCTTCAGTAAACCAGTAAGGAAGATTTTTAGCTGAAACTGGTCCTTGGTGATTGATTAAATGCAAGTCAGCAGCTGCCAGTTTTTGAGAATTAAAAAAGCATATCAAGGAACACAAAATTAATACCTGTGGCTCGTGACGATATATTGAGGTCTTATGAAGTGAAACAATCTGTCTGTGCAAGAAACTGAACATTATTTGCAACATTATTACATGTAATCCAGAGCCTCAGGCAAACGGTTTGGAGTGATGAAACAGTTCGTGTCTC